TATATAAATTGGAATATCTTCACATCTATTATTTATGCAAATTATTCAAACTGAAAAGAACTATTCCAGGCTTTGCTCTGCAGCATGAAGTAAATTGGATTTGGTTCTTCCCTTTCGTATTGAAACGCATAATAAAATTTTATTACAGAATTAAATTTAAAAATGATAATACTATAATATATCTACATCACAAAATATTAACCAAGTAAAAATTGGAAATTTAAACAACTATGGCAGTACAAGCTAAATCAAATTCTAAATACTTTTGGTGNTTGAAACGCATAATAAAATTTTATTACAGAATTAAATTTAAAAATGATAATACTATAATATATCTACATCACAAAATATTAACCAAGTAAAAATTGGAAATTTAAACAACTATGGCAGTACAAGCTAAATCAAATTCTAAATACTTTTGGTGTATCAGAGTTATTATTTAAAGATAATATTAATGATTGGTAATCCGGCTATTCACTTCTAATGGACTCTGCAATTTCGCAAGCAATAAACAAAGATCAAAATTCATTATATCAAAGTATTTATCATCTATAGTATATTGATTTATTGCAAATTCTACCCTTACAATCTTATATGTCACAAACAGTTAGTCAAAATGTTAAGTGATTAATAATTCAACTCCATTTAAATAAATATTCTCTTTTTATTAATAATATTTATATTGACTTAACAAGATCCTATTGCACCTTATGTAATTCTATATCATCTAATTCATAATTGTCAAGAACTTTCTAGATTGCGTGACATAAAATATCTCAAATATGTAATTCTAATTCACCACTCGACTTCAAACTAAGTTTAAATAATATTAGTAAAACAAACTTATACAAAATTTATAATTATTTTGTTAAAATTTCTGAAAAACACTATTCGACAAATCAAAACTAATGATAGTTTTTGTATTCGTTGCCTTGTAAATATAGATGGATCATTATGTACGTAATCACAAATCGATGCCTATAGTAGGTATGACTTATTTTTGTACCTTTGTACTCTAAATTTGCTAAATTGTAATTGTTTTTAATTTAATCATTTGTACTATTCCCCCATAACAGAGAAATTGTTCTCTATTTGTTAATACCAATTTGTATTGTATTATATTGTAATATTAATAATAAATAATTGATTGATTTAATTAAATTGTTTTAGATTACATTTTAATATAGATTTATATTTGTGGCACCCTCCCACATATATTCATTTTACTTTTATTTTTTTAGTTGTTCTTACATTTAGCATATGTACATTTTCTATATTACTTTTCATATGTTAATATACTAAATTTATTTAATTTCCATGTGACTGTACTCAGAACCAGTGTTTTAAAAGATTGTCAGCAGCTGAAGTCTTGACTTGAAATGCAGTCTGCAATGACAATTCTATGTGATTAATTTTTTTCTGCCTTTTTAGATACATTCCTGTATGATTAGCCCTAAATTTATCAAATTGTGTAATTTAAGTAGTACTAAAAAAAAAGTCTAAGTTTGCAAACTTGGAAATAGTGCTGTGGGCCTAAATACTTTTTTGTGATTATCTATTTTTTTAGTATTCAATCTAAATGAAAACTGTAGGCAATTATCCACAAATTTCATGTAGACTGGATGCATTTAAAAATCTAAAATTGTAGATTAATAAATTTTTTATTAATCTGCTATTTTATATTTATAAATGTATCCAATCTACAATTTCAGGTGACAGGTTCAATTTTAAATTAATAATATATCTGTAAGAAATACAATATATTAAAGCTAAAATTTCAACATACAAATTAACTTCAAAAGATTATAAATAAATGCTTATTCTATTCATCAATCAACTTAAAAATTGCATTTAACTTTTAAGTTACAAAAACAATTTTTTTTTTGTCTTCAAACAATAAAAGATGAAAATAAAACAAACATTATTTTATTCTTAAAGACATCTAAAGATAAAACTATATATATGACAACAATCAAAACTGTAAAATCTTACTTTAAGCCATTTTCTGCCCTTTTTCAGTTTTGAGAAATTATATAATCTTATTTGATCTGCTCGCCTCTCTAAAACAACAAAAAAAAAATATTGAAGAAACATATAATATAAATAATAACTTATAACTCTTTTAAAATAAGTTTATATAAATGTTAATAATTCAAAGAAAGAATTTGTAGAAATTAAAAATGTTTTATTACAATTTATAGAAAAATTCTTATTGAAATTCATAGTCTGAAAGAATAAAACAACAATACTAATATCCACTATTTCTTATATCAATATTAAATTTATTTAACGAAACAGAAACAATATCCATTCCTCTCAAAAATTAACAAAATTTGTAAACATACTTAATGATGAATTATATTCCCAAGATCTTTAAATATGACCATATCATTGTGTACAATCACTGATCCAATGTCAAGTATTCAACTAAAATCTCCATTTGCCCCTGTACACAATACATGTATGCTGACTGGGTACCGCAAGCTTTTGATACAATCTGGCTGTGTTAAATGATTCAAATGAGGTCATGTGTATGCATTTATTTGCTGCAGAGAACCTCCACACGAGCATGTGGTTGAGTTCCCACAAGCATGGCACTGATTTAAAATGGCTAGCACTAGCTACTAACTGCCAATGTAAAAGGAAACACAAATGATAAGAATTTACATGTTAGAATAAATTATTATTAGCATATTTGTTCTCATATAAAAAATATATTGACAGTCAAAACTTTCTCTTAAGCATGTGGTGCATGCTAAGCAAGCCCAGAGAATCTGTCCCTGCTAAAGATTATTATGATCCTGTTTGATATTTTCTTAAGTGTTATCCTAAGAAAATAGCTAGTTCTACATAAATCAGTAGTCTTTTCACTTTATTAATGATCTGGTATGTTTTTCATTGTTAAAATGTGTCCAAATGATTTATATTGAAACTGAACTACTGAGTTCAAAAAAGTCCCAAGTCCATAAGATCTTCATTCCACAAAGTCCATTCTTAAAGTCAAGAAAAAGAAATTATAGTCTATTTTATATTGAAAAGCTGAATTTTAGCACTCTTTCTTTTTTATCAACATGTAGAGCACCTAAAAATTACTATAAATCTATAATAAACTGCAATATTAAAAAAAGATTACTGAAAAGTTAATTCTATCTTTATCATTCATAATAATTTACTCATATTATTTCATAGTTTATTTGATGGGATTCTTTAGATTTAATTTTTTTTATTTAAATATATTTTAATTGAAACAATATATTTTTTAAAAACATTTGATGGCATAATTTTTCTGTCACAAAATAAATGTAATTATAACATGTAACACTAGATATTTATAAATGTATCCATATCTGAATTATATTTTATGAATAAAAATTGTTTTTTAAAATCAATTTTATGTCTGCATTATAGTTCATTTATATTTCATTACTCTATATAGGGCCGATGAAAGGGTTTAAATAATGGGATAAAATTTCCTGGGCCCAGATATCATCTCATAATTTGTTTTTTTATGTGCTATTGTAATATAAAATGATTAACAATAATTCTTCTTCTTTGCTTTATTAAAAAAAGAACATTATATTATATTTATTTTTAAAAAAATGCAAATTTTCAAATAATTTATTTACTTAGAGCCAAGGTAAATTTCTCTCTGGGAAGTCAATGTCTCTCAATGCCCAATTATAGCAGATCCATAGTATCCAATTATAGCAGACACCTTTCCATAGTAAAGGGTGCTAAAAGCATTAAATTTTATTTAAATCTTATAAATAAAAGGGAAATTTTGTTTGTGGCAACATTGTTTCTGGATGAGGCCTTTGTAGACATATTTGTTTGGATTTGTGGTGTCATCAAATTTCCCCCTCAACTTTTACAGGAAATTTATCTTTCTTACTTTGCTATGAATTCATTCCATTGTATTTTATATAAAAATTTGTGAAAGCCCACAAATATCTTTCAAATGACCATAAAAATTCATTTTAGCAAACAAATCCATGATATCATTGCCTATAGACCTGCACCAAAAACACAAAACACTAACTTCATTTATTAATTAGCCTTTAATTCATTTTTTAAAAATAATATATAACACAAATATACTTTTTACACATAATGAGGGCCATTAATAACAAGGTCCAAAATGCATTTTAGGGAATAAATAAGGCATTAATAATTTCTTGTGTGATAACCTTTCATTAAAATAATTTACTATGTATGTGTAAAAAGTATATTTGTATTGCAAACATTTATTAACTTCACATTCAATAATTTCCATTTTGGAAATACTAAATTAAAAAAATGTAATTTAATTATTAAGAATATGTGATCTAAATTATGCAATTGACTGAAACTAACAAAATGGTGTTATCATCATTTAATCTGTCCCTTCACCCAAATACTGGTATAATCTACTTTATTGTTTCCAATATAAAATCTAACCATGCATATGTTGAAAGTATTTTAAAAATCTTATTAATGTTACTTTCCATCTACTTCCAAAATGTTTCTTTGAAATATTACCTCTTGAAATATATTACTTTAATTGTTTTGTTACAGATTGCTCTACTAACAATCCCTTTTTTCATAATTTGAGAGAAATTTTTAACCTTTGCAAATATTTCTGTGAAATATGATATATATCATATTTCACAGAAATATTTGCAAAGGTTAAAAATTTCTCTCAAATTATGAAAAAAGGGATTGTTAGTAGAGCAATCTGTAACAAAACAATTAAAGTAATATATTTCAAGAGGTAATATTTCAAAGAAACATTTTGGAAGTAGATGGAAAGTAACATTAATAAGATTTTTAAAATACTTTCAACATATGCATGGTTAGATTTTATATTGGAAACAATAAAGTAGATTATACCAGTATTTGGGTGAAGGGACAGATTAAATGATGATAACACCATTTTGCTAGTTTCAGTCAATTGCATAATTTAGATCACATATTCTTAATAATTAAATTACATTTTTTTAATTTAGTATTTCCAAAATGGAAATTATTGAATGTGAAGTTAATAAATGTTTGCAATACAAATATACTTTTTACACATACATAGTAAATTATTTTAATGAAAGGTTATCACACAAGAAATTATTAATGCCTTATTTATTCCCTAAAATGCATTTTGGACCTTGTTATTAATGGCCCTCATTATGTGTAAAAAGTATATTTGTGTTATATATTATTTTTAAAAAATGAATTAAAGGCTAATTAATAAATGAAGTTAGTGTTTTGTGTTTTTGGTGCAGGTCTATAGGCAATGATATCATGGATTTGTTTGCTAAAATGAATTTTTATGGTCATTTGAAAGATATTTGTGGGCTTTCACAAATTTTTATATAAAATACAATGGAATGAATTCATAGCAAAGTAAGAAAGATAAATTTCCTGTAAAAGTTGAGGGGGAAATTTGATGACACCACAAATCCAAACAAATATGTCTACAAAGGCCTCATCCAGAAACAATGTTGCCACAAACAAAATTTCCCTTTTATTTATAAGATTTAAATAAAATTTAATGCTTTTAGCACCCTTTACTATGGAAAGGTGTCTGCTATAATTGGATACTATGGATCTGCTATAATTGGGCATTGAGAGACATTGACTTCCCAGAGAGAAATTTACCTTGGCTCTAAGTAAATAAATTATTTGAAAATTTGCATTTTTTTAAAAATAAATATAATATAATGTTCTTTTTTTAATAAAGCAAAGAAGAAGAATTATTGTTAATCATTTTATATTACAATAGCACATAAAAAAACAAATTATGAGATGATATCTGGGCCCAGGAAATTTTATCCCATTATTTAAACCCTTTCATCGGCCCTATATAGAGTAATGAAATATAAATGAACTATAATGCAGACATAAAATTGATTTTAAAAAACAATTTTTATTCATAAAATATAATTCAGATATGGATACATTTATAAATATCTAGTGTTACATGTTATAATTACATTTATTTTGTGACAGAAAAATTATGCCATCAAATGTTTTTAAAAAATATATTGTTTCAATTAAAATATATTTAAATAAAAAAAATTAAATCTAAAGAATCCCATCAAATAAACTATGAAATAATATGAGTAAATTATTATGAATGATAAAGATAGAATTAACTTTTCAGTAATCTTTTTTTAATATTGCAGTTTATTATAGATTTATAGTAATTTTTAGGTGCTCTACATGTTGATAAAAAAGAAAGAGTGCTAAAATTCAGCTTTTCAATATAAAATAGACTATAATTTCTTTTTCTTGACTTTAAGAATGGACTTTGTGGAATGAAGATCTTATGGACTTGGGACTTTTTTGAACTCAGTAGTTCAGTTTCAATATAAATCATTTGGACACATTTTAACAATGAAAAACATACCAGATCATTAATAAAGTGAAAAGACTACTGATTTATGTAGAACTAGCTATTTTCTTAGGATAACACTTAAGAAAATATCAAACAGGATCATAATAATCTTTAGCAGGGACAGATTCTCTGGGCTTGCTTAGCATGCACCACATGCTTAAGAGAAAGTTTTGACTGTCAATATATTTTTTATATGAGAACAAATATGCTAATAATAATTTATTCTAACATGTAAATTCTTATCATTTGTGTTTCCTTTTACANTTAAAACTGTCTGGTTAGTGATCAATCAGTATTGTATGTTTGTGGTACAGTTGCTATTCCTGTATTTTATGTTAAATTTTTGCATAATTCTGCATAACATAACAACAAACATACCACTGCATATTGTGCTTGCTTGACTGCATTCTTACTTTGTCATGCACTCCTATGGTGCATTATTTTCTGAACACCCAGTATATTAGTGCTATAAATTTAGATATAGACAGTTTAGACTTACCATAATTTGATATAGTTGATTGTCAACATCACTTGATCACCACAGATATAGTTGCTGATTGAAAAGAACATTATTTCTTCCAAACAAGTATTAGAATGCAAAAGTTGGCATTAGATTTGTGGCGGATTAAATGTGACAATTGTGGCAGATTTGTCACATATTAATCCATTGATCACAAGTATTTATTTAAA